TCTTACTAAAGCTAAGTATTTTAATATTCTATTAGAATACATTAGCAATTAATTATATAGTAAATTCTCTAGCTAATTCTACAATTTCTTAGATAATTACTAATAGACTGTTTACCTCTATAGCCTTAAGTAAATAGATATTAATAAATTTCTAGAAGATAAGAAGCCTCTTTCTAAGTTAGAACTTAGAAAGAGGCTGCTAGAATAGCTATAGAATAAGCTAGTAGAATTTCTTTTCTAGAAAGCTAATAAGCTACTACTAATAAGAGCTTAGAACTATAAGATTAATATTATCTTAGAAAAGAAGCTACTATATTAGAAGAATAGGCTCTTCTCTAGTAAGAAATTAAAAGTTATTAGAAAATAGCTAGATAAAAACCTAGATAAAAGCTTTATACGTAAATTCTATTTACGTTATACTACACCTCTACTTCTAGTAGTAAAACTAGGCAGAGAGGTACGCATCTATTAAGACTATTAAGGCCTTAATAATATAACTATAAAGAACTAATATCTACTTCTATTAATTAGAGAAACGCTTAATACTCTATGTAATGCTAAGGTGTATACTAAGCTTAACATTATTACCGCGTTTAATAAGCTAAGAATTATAGAAGGCTATAAATAGAAAATAGCTTTTATTACCTAATTTAGACTCTTTAAATTGCTAGTTATGCTATTTAGCCTCTATAATACGCTAGCCTTATTCTAGAACTATATTAACTATACGCTCTATAATATTCTAGACTACACGTGTACTACGTACCTTAATAACGTTCTTATCTACTCTATAAATAAAAAGAAACACTAATAACACGTCTAAGACGTAGTCTAATAGCTTATTAATATAGGCCTCTAAATTAATATTAAGAAGTATAAATTTAAGGTTACTAAAATAAAATATCTTAGTCTTGTTATCTTCTTAGAGAGAATCTATATAGATCTAGAGAAGGTCTAGACTATTTATATATAGATAACGCCTCTACACCTAAAGAACCTATAGAAGTTTCTTAGCTTCTCTAACTTTTATTAATATTTTATTTAAGACTTCTCTAAGATATATTAACTACTAAATAAGCTACTACGTAAAGATACGCTATAAATCTAGATAGACGAGTATATATAAGCCTTTAAGACTCTAAAAATATTATTTATAATAGCTCTAGTACTAGTAATATATAACTATATAAAGAAGATAATTCTTAAAATAGATATCTCTAACTAGGTATTAGAGAGCGTGCTCTTATAGTATAATAATACTAGCGTACTTTACTCTATTACGTACTTCTTAAGTAAGTATAGCGCTACTAAGTATAACTATAAGATTTATAATAAAGAACTTCTTACTATTATAAAGTTCTTAGAGAAGTAGCACTCTAAGTTATAAGAGACTACTAAACTATTTAAGATTATTATAGATTATAAGAATTTTAAATACTTTACTATAATAAAGGCACTCTTCTAGAGACAGGTCTACTAGTCTAAATTTCTCTTATAATTTAACTTTTGTATTATATATCGTCTAAAGAGTAAAGTAGTTAGACTAGACGCGTTAAGTTATATACTAGGCGACTAATCTACTAAGAATAACCTTACTAATAACTATGTTAAGAACTAGATATAGATAATGCTACTACCTAAAAGATTTAATAAGAAGGTTCTTACGAAGCTTCTCTAAGATACTCTACTAGAAGTAGTAGTACTTATTCTACTAGCTATAGATAAACTAATTAATAACCTATTATAGACTATATATAAGATATTAGATCTAGTATAGAAAATAATTACTATACTAGAGAACCTATTAGCAAAGCGCTAGCTAAAATACCTTTAAAGACTTCTCTAGGTTCTAATACTTAACTATAAGGTCTAATAAAACTATATTTAGTATAGAGATTATATATTTATACTACTAAATAATAAACTATATACGTAGATTTTATACTATACGTATAATACTAGCTCTACTAGCTACTCTAGATAGATTAAAACTATAGACCTTATCTACTATAATTACTAGTAGCTATAAATCTTCTATAATATTAAGATATACGTATAAGCCTATACTATATACGTAAGAATAAAAGTATCTAGACTCTTACCTTAAGGCTTTCTAAAACTACTACTAGTCTTATTCTAGATATAGTCTAATATATTAGTTAATTATATTACTCTACTACCTAAGTATAAGTTATATAGTTAAAAATATAAATATATTCTTATAGTAGTCTATTAACTTATAAAAATACGCTATCTTATCTCTATAATAAGAATTAATATAGAGAAGCTAACTAATATATTTATTTTATAAATTTACTTACTTTATAGCTACTCTAATAATATTATTTCTAATTATAGTATATAGTTTATTTCTTAGTTCTAGACGTAGCTTTCTACTCGCTTAGAAGTTATACTTAAACGCTTATCTTTATTCTATCTAGAGATAGATAGATAAATAGAGTAAGTTAATAGCTCTATTAAAGTATACCTCTAGACCTTTATAAACTTCTACTAAGACGATTAGGTATAATAGCTACTACTTATAGAGTTTATAATAAATAATATTATATCTAAGACTATAGAAGTATCTCTATTCTTTACGAATTATAGTTTCTATCTAAGACTAGAGGTTAAGCTAGCGTAGCTAGTACTACTAAACCTATCTACTACGTAAAAACGCGAGTTCTTTAGAGCTAATAACGTGGCTAACTAGTTTAGCCGCATTCTATCTTAACTAAAAGCACTAGCTATCTAGTCTATCGCTTAGTATAAACACTATATAAATAAGAGACGTAAAGATATACTATAATTTTTAATAGAAGATCTTATCTACGTTAATACGTAGAATATAAAGATAAATAGGCCTATAAAAAAAAGAAATAATAAGCTTATAGAGCTATATAAGGTATTAAAGGTCTATAACTAATTATATATACTAGAACTTCTATTACGCGTATAAATCTTTCTAGTATTCTATAACTTACTACTCCGCCTCTAGCATGTCTCTACGGGGCTTCTAGGTTAATAGGTAATTAATAAAGCAGAGTTACGTTATCTCTATAGAAGAGTTCTTAAAAGAGAAGATAGAATAGAGAAACTTACTAAGAAGTAGAAGTTTAATATAATACTAGACTACTATAATAAGTAACTAGAACTATAGTACCTTATTAAATAGAAAAACTACGCTATAATATAGTAACTAGTATTAGACCTAAAAGGTTAGAATAACGCGCTACTAAGGTTCTATACCTAACATCTAGGTAAGCTAGGTCTACTATAATAGATAAAAAGGCTATAGACGCTAGTTAGTCTAAATTTTTTATTATTTTATAGGCTATTTAAGACGTATAGTATACTAGAAGAGAGGTACTATTATAGTACTAACTTGCCTGCGTAGTTATATAATCTTAGCTACCTTAGCGTCTTAGTATAGTAGATATCTACTCTATACCTTTATACCTTTATAGCTTAATATTATATAACTTATTATATATCTTAAATTCTTATTTCTTATTTACGCTATAATAGGTACTTTATAAATCTAGTCTAGCTTTTAAAGATTTTATTTATAGACTATTATATTCTTTTTATATTACTTTTATTTTCTAGCTAGTCTAATATATAGAGTTTAGTCTATATAAAAGCTTCTTCTTCTATATTTATTATAGCTTCTAGTATCTTATTCTTATTTTATAGAAACGCTATAGTATTATATTATAGGTAGAGTTCTATAGCTACTAGAAATACGTTAAGATTCTCTCTTTTACTATTAAAGTATTAAGGTAGAGTAATCTTAGCCTAGACCTGTTATTTTGCCGCGGCTAGCTCTTCTATCTACTAAACGCTTATCTTCTAGAGTACTATAATAACTTATTAGAGTTCTATAATTTATTTCTCTATAGTTAGCTTTCTAGCCTAGGCTTTTCTAGATTAGGTTCTAGCTATTAATATAATAGTTCTACTCTTTAACGTTAGATAGTTATTTTATTATAAGCTATTCTTCTAACTTAGACTAAGGCTTACTTTTATAAAAGAACGTAGAGAGTATACTTTAGACTAGAATTTTTAGTAATAAAGAGGTAGATATAATAGTACTATAAATTATAAGTCTCTATAGTAATTTAATAAATAAAGTAATAACTATAAAAAGCTATAAAAAGTAAGCTTTTTCTAGTTATATATATATACCGTCTTAGCTAGATTAGGTACTAAGACTCTAGCTTTTATAGATCTTCTAGATTAGAGCTAATTACCTAGATTAGTTCTAATTCTTCTAATCTATCTAATCTACGTTATATAACTCTAACTATTTCTATAACTTTATACGTAACCTCTTATTCTATAACTCTAGGCTTAGACTATTATTTTCTCTATCTTAGCTAGTTAACCTTATTTCTAATTCTATAATTATAATAGCTAGTTACTTAAAAAGAAGCTATAAATTAGAATAAAAATAAAAAGTAGTATAAAAAGATAGTAGTATATAATAGCTAGCTAGCTTAGTAATACTATAGATACTATAATAAGCTAGAGTATAATATATAAACGTACTAGATAGTTAAAGATAATATAAATAAGTTAGATAGCTTATCTAGATTTATCTTAAGTAGCTTAGAGTTAGAATAATCTAATTAAGATAGTAGCTTTTTAGTAAAGACTTAGTATTTTTAGAGTATTTAGTAATATAGAGTATTTACTAATAAAGTACGTTACTAGGTAAGAGTAGTTCTAGCCTAAAGACGTTAAGAGAGTGCTTAGCCACACCTTGATAATCACGTGGCTAGCTGTGTAGCGAGTGGCTTAGTAGCTGTCTGATTGGACGCAGCCATGTTCCTCGCCGCCAAGCGCCCTGGGCGCTAAGCGAGGCCCCAACGTCAGCCGTTTGAACAGGACAGCGCAGCCACCTCTATCGCCGGTCTTTACGCACAGCGTCGTCGCGCATCGTGGACTCTTATGTTATTGTCTGTATGCAGTAGTCACTGCATTTCCCCTGACCCTTGATGCCACCAGACCTGCCGCCGCCGCTCCGCCCGTCCCGCAACGTCCTCGACCCACCCGCTTCCGCATCCCCGCCCGACGGGCTCCCGCTATCAGTGTACCCGTCACACGGGCCTTACCAAAGCTACGATGCAAACCCCATCGGAATTGCTGCCCTCTCTCTCCCTGCGCCGATCCCTTCGTCTGCCTACCCACACTACCACGTCTCCAGTGGTTATACGCCGGGTTCCTCGCACGACCCTTTCATGATGCCTGGCCTGCCTGCATCGCAGCAGCAGCAGTACCGCCCTCGCAAGCGCAGCTACCATGACGATGACGTCGTGCGTGCCGACGATGCGAGCTCCGCGAAGCGCTCTCGTAGCTCGAGAACCTATTCGGACAGCAGTCGAGAGTTTGACAAAGGCACGGGCGATAGGCTTGCGTCCATATACGGTCGGCGTGCGTGTTGGGTCTGTGGGGTGGACGCGAGGCCGCCTGAGAAAGCACACGTGTTTCCAAAGAAGGATCCAAATGTACCGCTCCCCCTCTGCGCTCCGGTCCCTGCTAACGGCGGTCACAGTTTGCGAGCGTTCGCGACCTCGGCCTCCTAAACCTCACTTCCCACGGGGATTTCGAAAACGTCCTTCCACTCTGCGCCAACTGCCACGGCTACTTCGACGACGTATACATGCCGCGGCTTGTTATTGTCCCCGTATACGTCGAATACTTCTTCCAGGTCGAGCGGCGTTGGCAGGACGACTTCCGGACTAAAGGGCCAAGGGCACGCATATCCCCGACCCGTGAATCGTACTTCGAATATTGTGCGCGTCAGGACCATCGACCAGGCCGGATTCCGAACATGACAAGAGGTGGGCTGTACACGTGGTATGCTGATGGCGGAAGCTTTCCGTTCAGTCAAGAGCCGGCGCATGCTTATCTTCAGCATTGGCATGGTGATCCAATGGCCATGGTTTACCGCGCAATCCAGGGCGTTGAACGCATTGCAATGCCCCAAAGGTTGCCTAACCATCTGAAGCGAGACTTGATGGGGCTCCATATACTTTACGAGACGGGCAACAACCTGCAGAAGACGCTTTTTCAACTCGGCACCTGGCCCTCGTTGAGACCCGGCCCCATTTCCGGCTTCCAGCCTGGCCGGGGGTCTGGTTCCGGTGATGGCTTCGATCCTGGCCCTCACTCCGGCAATCCCAACGACTCCGGCAATCCCAACGACTCCGGCAATCCGCCATCGCAACCGCGTGGTGGCTATCCAGCGACATCTACGCAACGACCTGGGCCGAATGCTTTTCACCAGTCCACAGCTAGCTTTGGCGAGGATGACCGCTCTTGCGTGTCCCCTCCATATCGCCCGCCTACTCCTGCTCTCACACCCCCATCTGGGAATGCGAAGCGACGCCGGGAGCATGACGAGGACCCTGCGGAAAGGTCCATTGGCGGGCAAGAGCCGGCTTTGAAGCGCATGCGTCTAGGTTCCTGGTGCAATCGTCTCACACCTGATGCATTGCAATCACTTGCAAGGACACATTCCCACATCGACATGCTATCACGCTACCTCGACGAAGCAGCTTCCGCCTACCAAGACAACGATCCAGCCACTATACCGAAGAACGCCGCATCAGCAAGGGAAGAGCACGACATGGGAACACCTCCTCCCTTCCTACACCCACCCTCTAAAGCCGATCGACCATCCTCTCCTATAGATTGGCCTACAAGCCTCGTGTCGAATGCAGCATCGAGCCGAGCATCGAGCCGAGCATCGAGCTGTAAACCGCCTGCCCGAGCCGGGCAGAATTGGTGGGGTACGTTGTGGCAATGGGCAGGTCTGACGGCGCAAGAGGCAATGAAGCAGCATCAAATATTGTATTTGGAGACGAAGTCCCCTGTGCCTCTTGCGAATAGGGCACCAGATGGGTGGCAGTCATGCGCAGGTGGTGGTGGTGATGAGAGTGGAGGCTCACATGCCACAGCTGCTCGCTAGCTAATTCTCGTATAGATACTACTGCATGCTAACATGTATCTATACCCGGAGCTACTTGTTTTGCTTGCGCAGTCGCCATGGTATTAGGTGTTGACCATCTCGAACACACGCGCTGGGGTCCAGGTAGATGAGGTGCTGCCATTCAAGGATAATCAAGCGCCGAACCAGTCACGTGCTCACTTCACGTGACCGTACACATCCGTCAATCCTTCGACTGCCATGATTGCATTCCGATTTATTCAACATGAGATCTTGAGCCGACGCGACAGGCTTCGGATTACGACTGCACCACGTATTCTTGATCGATGTGTGGGAAGACGGTGGTGTTAGGTCAGAGCCGCGGATCCCGGTGGAAGCTACAGATCATGCGCATGCACGGCGAGCTCAACAACGCCTCGCGCAATCCTGAAAAACCGTAGTAGACAAACTTTTTATGCAATTCCAGCCGCAGCATGTATGTCTACTCATCTTTCTAATGTCAGTGTTGGGTAGATGCAGCGGATTAGGGTACGCTTCTGGCACCTGGGCAGGTGGATGCCCCGGAGTTATCGGGGTTAGCGAAAAATCAATCCGAGGACCAAGTCGCGCAGGAAGAGCAACGCCCGCCAACAACGGCGTATTTCAGCCTGCACTTGCGATGGGATTGCTGGAAATGTATGCGACGGCCGCATAGGTCCGCGAGGGCTGCGCCAGGGCACCTGTACCAGGATAGTTTAAAAATATTCGCGACGGCTACACAGGTGCGCGCAGCCCTCGCGCAGGGCGTGGGCAACCCTCCAGCGGGCTAGCGCGACGCCCCCGATGCGACGGCATCCCGAGGTCGAAAGTGAACCGGTCAACACCACGCATTAACAAAGGCTCGGAGGAGTATGGAGCTGCCGTAAATAAATTTCACAGGCTTCATCCCCATTGCGAAAAATTGCTCCATACGCGTCGGAACTGTTTTGCGCCGTGCATGCTCCCTGTTGTGCTCAGCACCCCGAGGCGGGGCGCTGGCGCTGAGGCATTCCCAACGCCAACAAGAGTTCTCGCAATGCCATGCCACACAGCCACCTAGCCTTCCACCGTCCCGCTCGCGTCGTCGCGTCAATATTCACGCCCGCTCTGGCCGTGTTGGAGTCGTCGCTGCCTCTCGCCGGCTTGCTGCCGGAAACCGTCCTCGCCGTCTTCACCGTCTGTTGCTGCTCATCTCACGCATCGTAGCCAGAATATCGTCGGAGGCGAGGTAGCGCGAAGACGTGTCCGCCGCAACGCAGCTAGAGAATGTGAGTGAACCGAGCCCGGCGCAGTCACAAGCTAACCACCGTTCCCAATAGACCGAAACAGCGAACCGCTATCTCCATTATCCTCCCTCCACTATCCTGCTCCGCCTCGCAATCGCAGTCTCAGCCAGAAGACCCGTCAGCCAGCTCGTCTGCAACGACTTGTTCCCGTCGTTTCAGCTCCCTTCACCGACTCAGCTTTCTCAAGAGACAATGGTTGACGGTGCTGTGCTCAGGCTTGCGCGTCGAGTATTCTTTGGGCTTGCTCAACGTGCGCTAGAGCTTACTAGAAGTGTTGCACTCTGGTTTGCTAGGAGTGTGCGAGGGCTTGCTGCTCTAGGAACAGCCTGGCTTGATTATCAAGTCAACAAACCTTATGTCAAATCTATTGAGGACTTACGGACTCTCTGCCACCAGTCCACATTGCACAAAGATGGACGCGTAGAGTTTTCGTTCTCCGCATTCACCTTCGTCTCTAAGGAATATACGGTCTATTATGGGCGATTATCGAACAGGAAGCTTACTCCTGAAACGATCAATAAGAGCTTGGAACGCGTTCCAGACGAGGATGTGTATCCTACGGCTCCGTCGCATATAACGGGTGTCGAGAAGGTGGATAGCAGTTCCTTCTTTAAGGGGCCTATGCTCACATTCTATGTTGAACTAGGGGGTTCAGGGCAGATCGCAAAGGCGCTCCTACAAGAAGCTGAGACGCTGGAGATTCTACGGCGCCGTCCTCACCCCAATGTCGTCCGGTATCACGGCTGTCAGGTCCATAGAGGTCGTATTGTTGGCCTACTATTAGAACGACATCCTTGCACACTAGAGGAACGTCTTTATAATGGCAGCCACGATCTCAACTTAAAGTTAGGCTTTAATGGAGTTAAGTTAGGGGTAAGGCATCTTCACAGTCTTGGGCTTGCTCATAACGATATTAAGCCAAGCAACATTATGGTCAGCGCAGACAATACGTGGATTCTAATCGATATGGGCTCCTGCAGGTCTATTAGGGACACTCTTATAATAGCAGGTCACCCAGAATGGCAAATTTCATCGAAGGAGCATGACGAGGCTGCATTGAGTGAGCTTTAGACCTGGCTATATAAAGAAAAGGGCAATCTTGCGAGCAATTATTATCCATGTATCTAGCTAATTTTCTGCAGTTTACACGTTAACTTAAACAATCTAGCTAGCTATGTTTCAATTCTCTAAGTTTTAATAACCGTCTAAATACTATATTACTAACCTAACTACGCCGTATAACTTAAGAGTCTAAGAGCTACGGCTTTGCCTAAGTAACTTATTTAAGGCGGTCTTATTTATAGTTCTATTATTCGCTAAATTAACGAACAATACTAGATAGTCTTGTTTATAACAGTCTACAGTATTTATAGTTACCGTTCTTCTAGTTTCGCTGTTAGTTACTATAATAATGTGCAAGCTTCTACGATAGTATCTACTCGTTATTAGCCTTCTTAATAAACTTAAAAGAATATAGCTTATATAGTAGTGCATAATAACTCTAAAGTAGCTTAATATAAGAGTAATATAGTAGTTAAATAACTAGTTCTAGATAGACTCTAAGATACTCTACGCTAATAAGAGTAATAGCTTATTATTACTATAGTATAGTTAAGATTTTACTATAAAAATTAGTTAGTACTACGCTATTTATAGTTAGTAGATATTATATATAGAGAGTTATACTATACTAGAATCTAATTAAATTACTAATATTATAGTAGAATCTAAGTCTACTTATAAGAGCTAGCTTTATAGTCTCTACTACTATAAGTATCTCTAAATACCTAGCTAGATAAGTTAGCTATAGGTAGTACTATCTCTATAAGCTATAAGAATAAGAAGTACTAGTAGAGTAGATTAGGTTAAATTTAGCTATCTAAAGATAAGAAGTAGAGAAAAGGCTCTAAGAGGCTCTATATATAGAGATACTAAGCGCTAAGACGCTAGGCTAGGTTACGTAATAAAGTTATATAACTTAAGGTTATATAACTAAGATATATCTCTAAACTAGACTATTATATTACTCTCTCTTATAGAGAGAGCTTATTCTTAAGCTCTAAAATACGTCTTCTAGATCTCTCTTCTTCTAAAACTCTTACGTTATACTCTTAACTATCTATAGTAGATTAGAGAGCTAGAGAATAGATCTATTATTAAGAAAACTCTACTTAAGAGCTTGTCTATATATAGATAGATACGTAATTACGTATATAACTAGAGAGTTATATAATTATCTTAGAATTATCTTAATACTTTATTACCTAATTAAGAGCCTCTATAATATACTCTCTAGCTCTTAGAGCTGCTATAAGAAGAGCTATAAATTAATTAGAAGAAGATAAGAAATATAGAAAAGCTAGCATAAGTACTAAGCTTACGTAAAATAAAGAGAATAGAAAATCTATTACTATAACGCTTTATAAGAGCGTAGAACGTAGATAAGTTATACGTATACGTAGCTATAGAAGAAAAAAAAGAGTATATAAATAAGAGAAAGCTAGACGCTAGATACTATAACGCTTTATAAAAGCGTACTTAGATAGCTAGTTATAGAGATACGCGGCTATAGAGGTAAAGAAAAGAGAGTAGTATAGCTAAACGTATAACGCTTTATAAAAGCGTGCTAGAGTTACTATTTTCTAAAATACGTAGTTGTATAGAGCTTACGCTTAAATAGATCTAGAGTACTAGATACTCTTGTTTTAACTATCTAAGATCTAACTTTTATGCTCTAGATTAGCTTGTAAAGCTATATATTAATTACCTTATAATTATTTAAGAATTCTTACTACTTCTTCTACTAAAGGTAGGTTATAAAGCTTCTTTATTAATTATTTCTAAATCGCGTATTATAACTAAGCGTAGTTAACTAGCTTCTACTAGTATTCTATACTCTATTAATATAGATAGCTATAATTACTCTAATTATAATTACTTTATTCTATAAGTATAGTATATATTAGGTAGCTCTCTCTACTCTAAATAAGCTATAAGAACTAGCGCGTATAAGCTTTAAGAGTAAGTATTATAGTAGCGCTAGGTTAAGCAAGAGAGTTAAGTTTACGTTAAGCCTACTTAGAATTAAATTTAGTAGCTAAGCGTAGAAAATCTCTAATTAGAAGCGTACTCTTAATCTCTTTAAGATTAATAAGTATAGCGTTAGCGTAAGTATAGATTTATTTAAGTACCTAAGTATATAGCTTATAGCTTACTTTTATTTATAGGTAATAGGTAACCTCTTAGTAGATATTACGTATCTACTTCTTCTAGTTATTATCGCTTAGGTAAAGATTCTTCTTAAGCTCTTCTATAAGTATATAGAGTAACTAATCGCTTACTTATAGCGTTGTAAGCTCTAGCCTTTATAGATTAATAGTTACGTGTATCTAGTTCTAGATTACCTAGAGTTTTATAATAAGCTAAGTATATATAGAAAATCTAATTTAATATATATATAGCGTCTCTATATTAGTATTAAGCGTAAGAGCTTTAGAAGCTTCGCCTATAGGCTAGACTTAAGTTACTACGTTAGAATTAATCTAGGTCTATATATCTTATACTTACGCGTAATATTTAAGCTAGATGTACTATAATAGAAACGTGTTATAATTAATAAGGCGAATACTTATTAGAAGTATAGTATTTAACGTTATAAGCTCTATAGCTATAGAGAGAAAGAAAGAATAGAAGAAAGATAATAAGAAGTAGAGAATAGACTACTACTATAATTAAGGCTCTATAGCTATTATATTACGTAGAGCTTTACTACTACTAGGCTTATAACTATAGTAAATTAAGAAGCTAGAGAATAGATTTATTATTAAGAAAACTCTACTTAAGAGCTTATCTATATATAGATAGGTACGTAATTATATACGTAACTAGAGAGTTATATAATTATCTTAGAATTATCTTAATACTTTATTACCTAATCGAGAGCCTCTATAATACTATCTCTTTTAGCTTATAGTAAGTATATTTATATTAGTTTTAAACTAGAAGTGCTTTTATAGCTACTATCTTTCTCTCTAGAAAGAAAGAGACTTATAGAAACTTAAACTAGAAGGCTTATTTTTACGTCTATAGAGTAGCTTTATTATAGACTCTTTTCTTAAATAATACTATAGGCTTAGTAGAGTCTTAAATTACTTAGTAGCGCCTTTACGTTACTTTTATATCTTCTACTCTTATAAGTTTTAAATTCTCTACTATTTTCTCTAGAGTCTTCTCTTTTTTATATATCTTAATCTAAGTATTTAATTATAATAGTAGCTCTAGCTTATCTAGATATATTATATAAAAGTCTTTTATCTTATAGAGAGTATTAATAAAGCCTATAGTATTATACTAGGTAGAGTTAGAATTATAAGTAATCTATATAGCGTAGTAGTAAAGATAATTTTATAAAGATAACTATTTAGAATTTTATATATAAGCTATTCTAAATTACTATTTACTTTAATAGATAGCTACTTAGACTCTACCTACTCTAGTAATAGCTCTAAGGCTTTTCTTAGCTAATTAGTATAAAAGACGTTATATATATATATATACGTAGATAGCTAGAGCTAGAAGAAGTAACTCTTTATAGTAATAATTAGATAAAAGCTATATATCTATTAATTAAGCTTTATACTAGACTAATCTATTAAAAAGCTACGAGGTTTAATATAGATAAGATTATCTATAGTAAAATTAAGTTCTTAGTACTTTTTATTTACTTAGAGCGTCTACCTAGCTTATACTTTTACAATATTACTTCGTATAATTTTAGTAGCTTTTTTTATAGCGTTATATTACTTCTTAGTAAAATTCTAAGCTTTCTAGCATAAGAGACGCTTATGTAGAGTAGAGGCTTTTATTATACGCTTCTTCTAATTCTAGTAGTATATTAGCTAGTATTTAAATTTAATTTTATACGCTATTAGTTCTATAGTTTTATATAGTAATATAGCTTATATCTAGTTTATATAGAGTAGAAGGTCTAACTAATTATTCTAGTAGTAGTTAATAAATAGACGTAGA